CCGTAGAGCCAACAGGACACGGGGGGCTGGCGTCGGCCGGAGAGCCAACAGGAGACGGGGTGCTGGAGTCGGCCGGACCACCGACAGGACACGAGGGGCTGGAGTGGGCCGAACCACTGACAAAACACGGGGGGCTGGCGTCGGCCGTAGAGCCAACAGGACACGAGGTGCTGGAGTCGACCGGACCACCGACAGGACACGAGGGGCTGGAGTGGGCCGAACCACTGACAAAACATGGGGGGCTGGCGTCGGCCGGAGAGCCAACAGGACACGAGGTGCTGGAGTCGGCCGGACCACCGACAGGACATGAGGGGCTGGAGTGGGCCGAACCACTGACAAAACACGGGGGGCTGGCGTCGGCCGGGGAGCCAGTACTGGAGCCGAAACTGAAGCCGGAACCATGGCTGCTGGGGCCGGAACTGGGGCCGGAACCATGGCTGCTGGGGCCGGAACTGGGGCCGGAACCATGGCTGCTGGGGCCGGAACTGGGGCCGGAACCATGGCTGCTGGGGCCAGAACTGGGGCCGGAACCATGGCTGCTGGGGCCAGAACTGGGGCCGGAACCATGGCTGTGTGGGCCGGTTCTGGAGCCGGAACCATGACTGTGTGGGCCGGTACTGGAGCAGGCACCCTGGCTGCTGGGCACGGAACCGGAACACGGAACCATGGCTGTGTGGGATGGTACTGGAGCACGGTACCATGACTGTGTGGGGCGGTACTGGTGCACGGAACCATGACTGTGTGGGCCGGTACTGGAGCAGGCACCCTGGCTGCTGGGCATGGAACAGAAGCCTGGAACCTGACTGTGTGAGCCAGGTAATCGAACACGGAAGCATGGCTGTGTGGGCCGGTACTGGTGCACGGATCCATGGCTGTGTGGGCCGGTACTGGATTACGAGCTGGCTTCCTGACCTTGCGTTTCTTTGAGGTCTTTTGGAGGCTCCGTGGACCTCCAAACGCCAGACGGGATCCCAAAAAAGGGTCAGAGAATGGAGACTGGCACTCGGGGCTACGTGCAAAAACTCTGAGCCATTCAGGCAACGAGCTCCTCAGCCATGGCATGTTAGACACCGCCATCTGTGCCTTCTTGAGGATAGCCTCTTTGTCCCTTCTTGACGAGGTTCCACTCCACTCGACATAATAACATTGAAGGGTAAAGTCTAGATCGAACAGATCTACCTTAAAATCTTCAAAATCTGCTGGGTCCATATTTGGTCGGTTCATTCTGTAAGGAATGCGTGGAAAGGGTAGGACCCAAATGCAGACTACAAAACAAAGTAACAAGGTCTAGAAACAAAAACGAGCTTTATTCTAAAAGCTGAACAATAACATGGCATGAAACACATAGGTTCTACAGAAACTGACCGTGACCAACATGGTGGGAGACAGGAGAAACAAACAATGAACCGACAAGGCACACAGGGGAAGACAAGACTAAATACAGAGAGGGGTAATCACAAGACGAGACACAGCTGGGGTAAGGGAGGCAGAAACACAAGGGCAACAGGTGAACACAATCAAACAATCAGACACACCAGGGAAACTAAGACAGGAAGGCAAACACAGGAAGAAGGAACAGAGAAGACACAAGGAGGAAAACATTTCAAAACAAAACAGGAAACCAGAGACAGAAAAAGACAAGACAAAACACAACACAGACAGATCGTGACAGTTCATAGTAGTTTTATTACACTACATTATAGTTGCCGTTCCTCCGAAGCTACCGTTCATATCGTGTTTGCTACCAAGGTAAACAAGAAAGCTAGGTTAGCATATTAGCTGGCAAGCTTACTGTGTTGATTAGATAGATCCACACTCCTACCACAACTACTACTAACGAATCTAAAACAACTAAGTTTCTCTAATATTTTGTGATTTGCATTTGATTTCGTCCAGCCAGATCCTGGCGGACAATACATGACGGGGACGGGACTACCACACTGATGCATCGTCCTAAAAAGCCCCGGCTGCGATAGGCAAGATGCAGACAACGGGGAGGAATGGATGAAATACCGTGTATATATGTATAATTATGTTCATTTTGTACATTTCTAAAAATAAAGTTTGATGGAAATACTTAGTAGGCCTATCCTTTCTTCCCTGAATTATTTGATCCTATAACATATCATTCATATATAGCAAACCATGATTTGATTTCTCATCAAACAGTAGTAGTTTATTACAGGTAAAAATAACTTACTCTTCTATAACAACAGTTGTAGGTACAGTTCGGTTAGTTAGCGTTTAAAATATACGGCTGTACCGACGCCATTATAAGACTGATGTTCCGAGAGCGAGCCGAAAAAAGCACTGTTAGACATGGGCAGAGCCTCTCTGGTGGTTGACTAATTAGAACAGAGTGGCCGAGCTGACCAATCGGAGCACACTAGGCTCACAGGGAGGGGGGGGGGCAAGAGCTCCAACGAGTCGTTTAGTGGAGAGAGTGAATACTGCTGAATACACATACTTTACAGAGATGCTGTATGCGAAACCAATGTGAGTTTGGAAAATTGCACAGTATAAATCTGTTTTAGTATACCTCAACAATGTAATTATGATCAGTGGAAATGGTCATGACATGGGCCCTTTAAGATATGCCAAACTTTTTTACCGTTACCTTTCGCACCTTCAATTATATTGATGAAGAAGTTCGCCTTGGCCTGTTTTATTGTTTGTGTTACTTCGTTACGAGCATGAGTGAATTTCTGTCTATCAGTGGATAGTCCGGATTTCAAGCTCTGCTTTAATAGTTGGTCTCTAGATTTCATTAAATTCCTGCATTGTTGATTCAGCCAGGGAAGATGATGTTCCTTCCTATCCCTAAGGCACCCTCTCCTTGAGAAGGAAGACATTGTATCATTAATTTTAGATATAAACAGATCACTGTTTTCACCAATATCTTCAGAGGACAGAGTGTCCCCCCCAATCAATCATTTTCACTGCATCCATTTACGCCGGGATCCTGAGTCGTGGCTGATCCTGTTGCTGCGGTCCTGTGTCCTGGATGCTCTATCCTGAGTTCTGGATTTGAGTCCTGGACTTCGAGTCGTGGCTGAACCTATCACTGTGGTCCTGCCTGACTCTCATCATACTACTTCCCTGATGGCTCCCACAGGATTGTTGACATCCTCGTGGATTCATATTCTTATTATAGACACATGCATTTCCAAACATTTGGTCTACCTGTGCTGTAAAATGTATTATCTCTTCGATTTACACACGGCATCTATTGCACGTCCGTCCGTCCGTCCGTCCTGGCAGAGAAATCCCTCCTCTGTTGCTCTCCCTGAGGTTTCTCCCATGTTCCCCTTTAAACTGTGGGGTTTTTCTCTAGAAGTTTTTCCTTGTACGATGTGAGGGTCTAAGGACAGAGGGTGTTATATTGTCCTACTGATATTCTGTACAAACTGTGAAGTCCGCTGAGACAAATGTAACATGTGTGATATTGGGCTATATAAATAAACATTGATTGATTGATTGATCCATAAAACGTTGTTGCAGATTTTTGGGGATGAAGCAAGAACCCAAGGCAGGGGTTTTAGGTGTGGCCATGAACCTTTTTTTTGTGACTTTCCTGGTAAAAAGAATAAGATTATGGTCAGAAAGACCAGTCAGTAAGTTGTAGGTTTTAACTATTCTGTCAGCTTTGTTAGTAAATAATAAATCTGTCATTGTCTTGGAGGTTTTGGTTATTCCAGTCAGTTGATCCATTAGTTGTATTAAGTTGTGTTTATCCGTGATCCGTTTTAAGTTCTTTCTATTTTGTTTATCATTCCAGTTTATGTTAAAGTCTCCTAAAATGATTAGCTCTTTGTTGGAGTCACAGGAATTCAGCAGGAGTTTTACCTGATCATAGAAATCCACCTTAGCGGTGGGTTGTCGATATAGGCAAATCATGGTGAGGGACATTTCCTCAGAAAGTGTGATTTCCACACCAACACAATCAAACTCAATATTAGCTGGAAGAGCAATGTCCCTACAAGTAATGTTATTCCTCACATAAAGCAACACACCCCCTCCTCTTCCATTCAGTCTGTCCTTCCTAAACACATTATATCCTGACATAGATACAAGAGTGGATGGTGACGACTGTTTTAGCCAAGATTCCGATATTCCCAAACAGTCAATATTGGATTTAAGTGTTGATTATATTTTAAATCATTAATCCAAATCTGCAAAGTAGCTACTGTAAAGATATTAAATAAATGTAGTGGAGTAAAAGTACACGATTTAACTCTACAAAGTAGAAAATAAAAAGGGAAATACTCAAGTAAAGTACAATTACCTCAAAATTGTACTTAAAGGTGGGGTATGTAATTTTGGAGGAACCAGCTCGAGTGCGCTAGAATTTGAAAGTACACAACCGGAAAAAATCTGCCTCTTCCTTCAGACTTCCTTACAGAGCCCCTCCTCCAACACACACGAACGCGCACATGACCAATGAGGGCACGAGATAAGTTTGTGCACAGATGGAAGGCTGACAGGCAGGTAGGCCATCCAGTTATTTTAGCCGGGCCGGCTAAAATGATTGGTCGTGCTTTTTACAGCGCCACGGCTTCCACAGATGACATTTTTGTATGTAGTTATTGTCAAAGCACTTAAGATATTCATTGCTATCGGGATGTTAAGAGCATTCCATGGAAAAGTGTTTCTGAAATAAATTACATACCCCACCTTTAAGTACAGTGTTTGAGTACATCTACTTAGTTACTTTACACCACTGTTGACAGTAATAAAGAAGTGACACCATCCCATTAAAAACTGCATAATCAGAAAAATTCTGTCTTAGATTGCATTTAGTCTCAGTCTGAAATTGAATGCACTCATCACTCATCACACATGAATTCAATTTTATTGAACTATTTATCTCCACAAAAACCACTAGAATTGCTTTAAAAGTGAAATATATTAAAGTCTATAATGTTAAATTATATTGACATCATAACATGCTTAATATGAGAAGATTTTACAAAATACAGGGTAGATGCCTTAACATGAAATGTAAAATACAATACAGTACGTGCAGCCTCTTTCTTTGTGTAAATAACTAAATATAACATGCTGTTATAAGAAGATAATTGTATATTATACAGTCACATAAAAAAAAACATCTTGGTATTTTCTTTCCACACCCTATGCCCTTAACTTTACCAGGGTGAATAAGAATCTATTATTTGTTATTTCTTGTTTAAAATATGAAAAACAAAATAACAATTGATGGGAACATGTATCCAACATGTGTAACAGACCGGCATGTCCTGATAACAATGTAACACTGACACTCTTTACAACATGATTTCCAAGTCAATTTTTCTGTCTCTTCATCCACTACCTTCCATAAAAGTGCTATTACCCCCCCTCCCCCCATTCATACAGTTTAAGTACATGTTCATATAAAGATAAATTAATTCATTTCAGATGATAGGACAGGAAAAGAGGCTACGTTCATCATGCGCAAATTATAAATCAGAATTATTTGTTAATAAATGTCGAGGAACACAAATGTGGCATTATTCTTGTATAATGAGATTAGTTTAATATGAGGCCTGTTGTGCAGATGACGGTACCCTTTTGCTTTTTTGGATGTATAGTACTATGGGCAGGGCTTTGAGAAATGAATGATCCTCTTCATGCCACCATGTTTGTGCACCTGATTGCATTGTGTATCGTCCCTAAGAGTAATAAACATAAAAAGACGTACAATAAAAGCATGCTGCCATTTACAACTATGGGAAAATCCCACTTCTTGTTCTTGGGCTTTCTTCCTCCGGCTCCTCCTCTGAGTAATAGTTCCCTGTTCCTCCTCCAGCGTGCCTCGAGAAGCCTACGGAGCCTAAAGAAGCCGCCCTCAGCACTTCTATCTCCTCTTTCTCATCCTCATCATCCCCTTCTATCTCCTCTTCATCCTCCAGGCTGGAGCTGTGTGAATCACTCTGAGCCTTGGCACTGTGTATATCCATGGCAGCTTTTTCTGTGTCAGTCAGAGGTGACTTTTGTTCCTTGGCTTTGCGGCTTCTCTTCCACTTCATACGCCTGTTCTGGAACCAGATCTTAACCTGGCGAAGGACGAGAAGAATCATGACAGTTAAACTGTGTACAAATATTAAGTTTAGTAGTGGGGGTTCAGGCTGCAACAAAGGATGTTCCTTTTTCACAGATGTATACATTACGGAATGTATGGAGTTTAGGCCCACATGTGTTTTTTTTTTTTTTGGAGGGCTGGGATTAAAATCAGAGTTAAGACTTTAGACTCAGAATTATGAGTTAAATCATATAAAATTCTCATGTGACCATAATCCTCTTCCATAGGAATGTTATAAAACAGGACGTCATGATTAAATAAAACTTAGAGACAAGGAAGAAGCAAAATAGTTGAGTATAGTTATACAGCACATTTCAGACAGAAAGGCAAATCAAAGTACTTAGCAAAAGCATTATAACACAAGAAACAATTAAACTAATTAAATATACTAAACAGATAGAAGATAGTTAAAATTCAGCATTATAAACACAGTTAATGCTGCATAAGGTGCAATACTAAAATGTTGTTACACAAACTCTGGAAAAGCATCTTTATTATCTGGAAGTTATTCCATCTTTGGCGACTTATGGAATATACTCACACATTGAAATGATGTATAGCAGGGGATAAAACAGTTCAATACAAAACATGCTACAGGCTCTCTTACCTGAGTCTCAGTCAGCATGAGTGAAGTGGACACCTCGAAGCGCTTAGGCCTGGACAGATACTTGTTGAGCTTGAACTGGTTTTCTAATTCTAGCAGCTGCTGGCTGGTGAAAGCCGTCCTGGGCCTCCGACACTTCCCCAACAAACCAGCATGGGCTGCTGCTATGAGGGAAAGAGAAAAAGACAGGTTATTCTTTGTGCATGTCCTTGTTTACATTTGAACATTTTTAATCAATTTCTGTAAGAGCACTATACCTCTCTTACAATATTATGGATAGTGGGCCAATAAAAAAGGATAGATGCATATACAGTAGGCCCAAGTGAAACAAATACACCCAAAGAAAACTATAATTTTAAAGATATTTTTTCAAAAGCATTTTTAAATCTTCCAGTTTGGTTTCCACTTCCCTGTTTGCCTTTTTAAGGCCTCCCTACCTGTCTGTCTTCCTGTCTGTATATCATGTTTTCTCTATCCGTTAACATTTATTGCCTTGATGTGAGGTCGTGGTGAGAGGATATTGCTTTGGAGGGGTAATAAACCATAACATAGGAGACCATTACCTTAATGAAAACACCAAATGTTATCAATTGATTAAGTAGTAGGTCTATTTCAGGTGCTACCTTTACGGTAAATGTTGCATGTTATTTTGATGAGATATTGTCCATAAAAGACAACACCTCAATGTCACGGCCCTTTTAAAGCCAGAACCAACACACAGGTGTGAGGAGGAGGCTCGAAACATATAAATATATTAGCTGACTAGTTGACAATACCCATTACAAAAAAATGAACCAAACAAATACATAATTGTAATATGTTTAATAACATAATTCAAAAGGAAACATTTGATTTTAAGGTCTAAACTAGAAATGCTGCTATTTCCTGGATTGAAAATTATCCTGTTTCTATAAATTAGGTAAAATAACAATAAGGAATATGTAATCAACAATAATCCAAATAAAATAAGATGTTTTAAAGAGTACTACTTAATATTTACAGTTATATAAATATAGAACTCTGTTGTAAAACATATGACATGACATTATAATTCATTTTATGTGTTAAATTGTTATTCTTTTTTATTATTATTATTTTTGTCTAATCTATGACTTTTGGATATCCATGTCATTGTAATGGGATTGTTAAAAGTCTTATCCACAAATTCTGAAATGGTTAAACATGCATTATAGTTTTTCGACCGTCTTAAATTACAGGAAGTAAAATAGATACAGTTTAAAACTACACGAGATGCACTCACCTCCATAATCTCCGAGTCTGGGTATCATCATCCCGGCCCTGATCCAGGGCTCCAGCGGGTGCGTCGCGGCCATGTGTGCCCCCTTTAGCTGCTCATGGTACGGTTGGACCAGCTGCGTGAAGCCGGGGTACATAAAGGCGGGGTGCTGGCCTCCGAGGGCCGCCAGAGGATACATGGAAGCGGGATGCATACCGAGGAGACCCCCATGGTGTAGAGCAGTGTATCCTGACTGGGACAGGCTGAAGAGCTGGGACTTGGATAGTACTCCTGGCTGGGCTGGAGAGTAGTTTGTTGGGTTTGGACGTGGGGAGGGCGTCTCCGAGCCACGGGTTGACACAGGACTGCCACCGGGGCTTCTGCTGTAGTACAACCCCGGGGACGCACCATCACTGTCCGTCCTCTGCTCCACGTCGTGTGCCAGCAACGCGTCAATGCGAAAGTTTTTAGATTTTTCCATGGTGGTAGTCATTCTGTCCCACGATGAACTTTGAAGCACTTCTTTCTGAGAACACTATGTATTTTCTTAAAGTTTACAAACACTGCTATATTGTCACTCCTCGTCCCCTGAAAAAATCTCTCTGACCTACTCCACTTATGGCTTGTGCGTAAAAACCACTTCACTCACTCCAGCAGTGAGCTGGGAAATTACTCGCACCCACGAGCGTTATAAAGTCTGCTGCGTTGTGATTGGCCAGAGCCATGCAGCACAGGACAGGGGAAGGGTATATATTATTTTTATTTTAAGGGTTAATTATAGGCATTGGTGCATACTTGTATCACCTATATGAGTTGAATCCAAGATAAATGCTTTTCCATACAGCAAAGTTGTAAGTCTTTGTTTCCTTCCTTCTCAAGCATTCACAATTCTAATTATTTGCCTGTGAAATAATCCATATCTATAATAATATTATACTTTCTTTCTTTCTTACTTTCTTTATGTTATCTTTCTGGCAGTTTGACCTCCAATTATATCCCTGTCTCAGGTGTGCTTGAGGTTCAATTTCCTCAACCAATATCTTGCACACACATGTGTTATATGTATTACATTCACAAACATGGAGACACACACATAAAACACTTACAGTCATGCTCCGGTAATTCATTTCATCTCACTTTAGAGATCTGACAAAAACATAATTTTACAACTTAGTCTTCATTATAGTTTATTGCTTGCTAAGATTGACAGAAACCCAACCGTTCTTATCAGTGGTTGCTGCGATGATTATCGGTCATCACCACACCATGAAGCAGATAGAGGGGCAGTAAACTGACAGAGAGCAAACTCATTTTCTCTCCCTGCAGACAAATAATGTATGGACAGGTGACACAACATCCTGTAACAGTTGTCTGGTGTTTACTCCATCAATATACACATTTTAATATGAAACAAAATGATGTAATATATGTGCAAATAGTAGCTAGAAACTTGATCAAACTGTTTATTGTAAACTGTTGTGAACTGCACATTGCAAAAATGTTATATATTACTGTATAGCTTTGCAGAAGATATATACCTAAGCTGACCTGATCCAGAAAATCCCCTGACCTATTCAGTTCCACGTAAGTGTCCGAACTGCTTCTATCTGCCACAGTTTAACCAGTGGTGATTTCCTGCTGGTTTATACAGGACTGATAAGACACAGTCAGGGGCCTGGGAAAACCAACTGCACTCACCTCAAAGACAAACACACCAACACCTGCTGGACTACCCAACATATAAACTTAAAGGATTATGGATGTGTGTGCAGGCACGTCCGTATACCTGCTTGTCACCATCAAAAAGTATAAATGAGTCTATAATATGCATTTTTATCAAATGTTCCTGATGTTGCAAAAGCAGGATTTTATTTTTGTGGCTTTTATATTGCATACTTGTTTGGGAAACATTTGTAAACAACATTTGGTTATATGTAATAATTTACATGTTTTGTTATAAATAAGAATATTTAACATGAAACCTTTTTAATGAATGATATACATTGCAAACTAAAGGTTACTCAATTGTTAATTTGGTCAAAATAAATGATTTTTTTGTTGCAATTATGTAATTTGTTTTCCACTGCCATTTATGATCAAACAGGTCACAGTAATGTGTGAACAGGAAAGGACTGCAGTTTTAAAAGCCAGCTGTAAAATAATTAATACTCTGTGATCTGATCTCTATAAGATAAGGGAGGATATAGCTCACCATTTAATGAAGTTTGTACTATATATCTTGATATCCTAGCTCAAATATCACACCATTTGAGATAAGGTCCCGCAAAGATAAAGATGCCGCATGACATTTCACACCACTGAGAGATATTTTCTTTGGTAGGCTATATATTGGAATTGTGATTTATAGTCATTGAGTGCCCATTTTAATAGCCCTTAACAAAAGAGTCTTTGTATTCACATAGCTTTGATCAATTCACAGAAAGATAATGCAGCCATAACGTGATACTTTGTACAGTCATATACTCCGTCTGAGGATGGAGCGATCAGGTGTATGAGGTCAACCTATGTATGTCTTCTCTGATTAATATGGAAACATTGTTCATAAATGGCATTCCTTCATCTGCAGCAGCATTTATTAAACCAGGGGTCAGAAGTCAGGGCCCTTTTAACTAATTTGTTGAAATAAATCATTTTTATTGTCGCTATTTGCAATCCCAATTTGTTTTGCCAGGTGTCTGTGTTGCCATATTATTCATGTTCATATTGAAGTCAATATTTTACATTTATTTAATATTTTCAATTGATATACAATCTAATACATTTAGGTGATATAAATCAAGTCAAACACAGAGGGCATGTTGCTGTTACTTTGCTGAGATGGTTACATTAGCATTAGCTGGGTTAAGCTAGGTTGGTATTCTCTATCTTGTTTAAAATGAGCAACTAATTTAGTCATTTGGAATAAAGTGAGTCACTGAGATGTCCTTACATCTTAATTTCAATTTTTATATAATAGATAAAACATAAGGGAAAGAAATGAACAAGTAAACATAGCTAGTGCTAAAGCTAGCTGTGGCTCATCAGCTAGCTTTTACGTTGACTTTGCTTTGTTTCTTTAGCTGTCTTGCTGGTTTTTATCTGTGGTAGAGAAATGTACTTTACTTGAAAGTATCCAAAAGTTTGAAGTATTAATCAAATTGACATTTAATTATTGTATTTTTTCCTAAAGAGGCAAAACTACAGTCAGGAAAAAAACCTATGCAAGAGCAACACACCACAGAGTCAAAATATACAACAGAACGTCTGGGAGACTCAAAATAACTAGGCTAAAGCTCCTCTCCACCCTTAGCTGTAAAAGAACCATTCATGTCGCCTCTATTCATACACAAATGAAAGAGAGGTTAACCCAGTGGGCGATTCTGTCAGGCCTCCATAGAGGCAAAAAGGTTACACCATTCTTGCATGGTGGTGCACAGGAATATGGGAGAGGCTAAATCAAAACTGATTTGATTTCACTTATTTGATCACAAGAGCTTGTTTTTTATGAATCACATGAATTGCAGTGGCAATTTGCCCAAAAAACAAAGCTGCCTCGTAATTTTATTGGACATTGACTATTGCATTGGATAAAGTTCATAATAAACTGCTGCCAGACACATACATGGAATCAAATCTAGTTCCGAGAGCGATACTTTACCAAGAATGACCTGTGTGTTTATATCAAAGTATTGCAAATTGAGTTACTTAACCTTAACAGTGACTTTAGTGACGCAAGTGACACTAATTTATAGGACCAGTGTGTTAGTGAACTAAGATATAACTATCCCAGGAGACATTGAAGCTATAAGAAAATCCCCAACGGATAGAGTATAAAAAAGCCTGTTGTTCTCCTGCTGTCTGTGTCCTATTGTGGTTTATAGTCTAATATCTGCTTTTGGTTGCTATTGTTGTATCTATTGTCATGCCCCAGTTTTGCTGTGATTGCCTAATGGACCGCAGGGGAATAGAACATTTCCTGGTTGAACAGGGGTGGGTGTTCAGGGTTGCAAGGTTCAACATCGTTCAAAATGAGTTGATTAATGACAGCTGTCACAACTGAGAACGGGCCATAATGAGGAGGACAAGAGGGAGGAGCGGAGGAGGAGAAGAGGAGGGACAGGAGGGGAGGCGGGAGGAGGAGAGCCCAGATTAGATGATTATTACTTAGCACGGTAAACAGTGAGATGACAGTACAATGAGACGAGGCTTCAGGGTAGAAGTGGAGGGGGAGAGGAGAGGAGGCACATAGCTAATTAGTGCTAAACAGAGGCCTGTGAATAAGAGGAGGAGACAGACACACGTAGAGCTGGTTAACACACAAAGACAGGGGCGGCAGAGTGGAGGCTGCGGAGAGTAGTTAAACATCTGTTGCTCTGTGGGACACCCAGTCTGCTCTGTAGGGTCAGGTTCCCAAAATACCCATTACCCAAAATATGTTCTTCCTTTAATGCAAATACATGATGGTTAGTTTAAACCCTTCTACCAAATGGGTCTTCTCTGTAAGAAGTTTTGAGTGAATGTGAACCATTTTTCTTACGATCTATGTTTGCAATACTTTTTATTGAGTACAAAAAGTAACATAGGCAACTTGATTCATACAATTGTTCTTCCTATGCCATTATCTTTGAGGAGCTTTCTACTTTTACAGGGTATACACTGTGAACCATATGAACAACCCTTATCCATATTGACATGTAAGCGTCAGCATTAAAGCTATAAAGAGAGGAGTCTTCCCTTTGGAGTTTGTATCTTCATGGTTAAATGCAATAATTATAAATTGGACAAAAGTCAGCTAAATTAAATGTGTTTGTAGTAGTTTGCACATATAGACTTGTACAATAAGACATTAAGAATTTGGAAAAAATTAAGAGCATTGTACAGAAGAGGTAGGAATTATAAAATGGCCTATAAAGAAACCTTTTGTTTGTCATCAAATGCAATGAGTGTGAGTATAAAGATCGATAGATCCTAGCTAGAGGTTAGGATATAAAGAGGGTCATATCTCTTATACAAAAGTCATGAGGAAAAAAGATAACAATAGTTTAGGGATTCATTTGTGTCCATTTCAAATCCCTCTTCCAAATTATACAAATATATTGAAGGGCATTTGGTAGCGCAAACCCCCTCAAAGGTCATGTCTTATCTCGCAATGTTAACGAAAAAGGAGAAAAACTTGTGTTTTCAGCGCGTGATTCGGATCCGCTGCATAATCTAATGGGTTCCTCCTTGGCCCATTCTACACCCTTCCAGACAGTTTGATGAAAATCAGCAGTCGTTTTTCCATAGTCCTGCTGACAAACAGACTAACAGACAAACCGAAAACAAGGGTCAAGGCTAATACAATTACAATGTACAAATACCAAATCAATTTGGGCAAACGTCTACATATTAAAAATGATTATTGAACATAACGATAAAATCAAGCGAGACTCCTGCCCGGATTCAGACTGAATGTGGATGTCACGCAGATGTTGAAGGTGTGGCTGTTGGTGCAAGTCAACCAAGTGAGATTAATCCATTAAAGAAATTACTTAATAGACAACAATATATCAAGGC